ACGTGTTCCTTAAGTAGCCAGTTACGTCTCCAGGAGCAGCAGGAAGGAGAATATACTCAGACGTGCTCCTTAAGTCACAAGTTACGTCTCCAGGTACAGTAGGAAGGAGAAGGAAATCAGACGTGTTCCAGAATCACATTGAGTACATGAATATGAATATTATCAGGGCCGACTCAAGAGGATGATTGTATTCCCGCCACCATCGTGAACTTTATGAGATCACCACCCGCATCTACCCAGGACAGACACACACACACACACACACACACACACACACACACACACCACATCCGCCCACATCACTCAAGGCCTCTCCACTTCCTCTTCCACCCACGTACACCCCCACTTCCTCCACCCACCGCCTCCTCACCCACCGCCTCCCGACCTCCACCCGCAGCCTCCCCACCCACCCCCACATACCTCCCCATCTCCACCCACAGCCCTCCCCACCACACCCACCTCCTCCCCATCTCCTCCACCCACAGCCTCCCCATCTCCCCCACCTCCACCCACAGCCTCCCCATCTCCCCACTGTTTCCATCTCCCCACTGTTTCCCCCATCTCCCATTGCTTCTCCATCTCCCCCACTGCTTCCCCAACTCTACCCACTGCTTCCCCTCCCCCACTGCTTCCCCATCTCCCCACCGTTTCCAACTTTACCCACTGCTTCCCCATCTCCACCCACAGCCTCCATCTCCCCACTGTTTCCCATCTCCCCCACTGTTTCTCCCAGCTTCTCCATCTCCCCCACTGCTTCCCCATCTCCCCCACTGCTTCCCTTCCACCCACAGCCTCCCCAGCTCCTCCACTGCTTCCCATCTCCCCACTGCTTCCCAACCCAGCCCAGCCTCCCCATCTCCCCACTGCTTCCCCATCTCCCCACCGTTTCCCCAACTCTACCCACCGCTTCCCCATCTCCACCCACAGCCTCCCCATCTCCTCCATTGCCCCATCTCCCCACTGCTTCCCCATCTCCACCCACAGCCTCCTTCCTCCACTGCTTCCCCATCTCCCCCACTGCTTCCCCATCTCCAGCCACAGCCTCCCATCTCCCCCACGCTTCCCCATCTCCCCCACCGCTTCCCCAGCTCCCCCACTGCTTCCCCATCTCCCCACTGCTTCCCCCATCTCCAGCCACAGCCTCCTAGCTCCTCCACTGCTTCCCATCTCCTCACCGCCTTCCCACTCCCCCACTGTTTCCCCCTCTCCCCCCACCGCTTCCCCATCTCCTCCACTGCTTCCCCACCTCCCCACCGCCTCATCAAGCTCTCTTCAGCCACCTCCACAAACACGTGATTTAGCCGTCAATGTGTCTCTCCGACGAGTGAAAATTCTTAGTGTGGCGCTAATACCCAGCATTAATCAACACACATTCACACAACCCAGCCATGCTTACGACGAGTAACCCACGTTTATACATTTATTACATACATATTCATATATCTATTTATATACGTATTTGTTTATGTATGTATGTATGTATGTATGTATGTATGTATGTATGTATGTATGTCAAGAAGTTGTGTTTTAATTTCTAGCGTAATTATTTTTTCATATTCTAATTTAATTTATTGATTCTCATTTAATAGTTTCATGAGAGAAGATTCATTATTTTATTCCTCTTAACTTAACCTAACCTAACCTAACCTAACTCATTACTCATTTATCTCTCACACGACTCTCACAGCCAGGTAGGTAAGCAGCGTCCTACTCCAGGTATTAATTTTTTTGTGGCGTCAAGCGTAAAGAATTAAGAAGGCTTAATTATCTTTTTAAACTACAAGATATTTACCTTCAATTGGTAGCGAATCGATTTTTTTTAAACCTTTGAGGACGGTGGTTTAAGTTATAGACCTCTGAGGACGAGGGTTTAAGTTATAAGCCTTTGAGGTCGATGGTTTAAATTATAACCCTCTGAGGACGATGGTTTAAATTATAACCCTCTGAGGACGATGGTTTAAATTATAACCCTTTGAGGACCATGGTTTAAGTTATAACTTAAAACATTATCTTCAAAGGGAGAGACAAACGAAAATTGTGACATACCGTATTATCTGTGTATACCAGACAGACAGACACACAGACAGACACACAGGCAGACACACAGGCAGACACACAGACAAGCAAAAAAAAAGAATCATCCGATATAAAATTTGCGATACTGAAATACATTTACATACAACTCGTGATTCGGAGATTTGCAAATTTATGAACGAAGTCAAGTGTGGAAAAACGCACACGGCTGCCGGCAATATTACCCGGGCTTAATTATCGTTAAAATAAAAATAAAAATAAAAATTCGCCAATGTTTCTCTCGTGATTTTTTCCCTATTTTGTGATTTTAAAACAGGGACTAATCCCATTCCCCATAAACCATATTTTTTTAGTACGATTTCAACCCCCGAGTACTATAGGATGTCAACCTCTTGAATACGATGTCAATATTTTGAGTACTATATCAACCCCTTGAGTACAATGTAAGCCCGTCGAGTACGATGCCAAGCCGTTCTTTACAATGTCAATTCAATGAGTACGATGTCAACCCCTCGAGTAAAGCGAATTAACTCATTAATTATCGTACCTTAACCTCTTGAGTGCGATGACTGAACCCTTCAAATACGAGGATCCATTACCTTGAGTAGAATGACACTGTACTAAGGAAAGTAGTCATCGTACTCAAGAGATTTAAAGGTTCCGGAATGAATAGAGGAGGGGGAAAGGGAAGGCCAGGGGGAAGGGGAAAGGGAAGGGGGAGGACAGGAGGAAAGAGGAAGGGGACAAGGAAAAGAGGAGGAGGAAAGGGGATGGGGGAGTGGGAAAGGGAAACGGGGAGAGGGAAGGCTAACGGCATTAGAGGGAAGGGGGGAAAAGGAGGGGGGATTAGCTTTATTGACACCTTCAGATGCTTCACTATATCTCAATCCCTCTTAATCGTTGATGGATTCTGAGTGTAAACACAATAAAAAAAGTGTCTTTACGGATTGGTCCGATAGTTTCCAAAATGAACACTGCGACTCCTGTTGTCTCGGTAGGGTTGTCAAAATCCTTCGGCCGTTGTGTCATATTATCTAACAAAAAATGTAAATTTATTTTCGTTATCGTGATTACGGTTCTAGATCTTTAGTTGTTTGTTATTAAGGTACAGTAATACATCAGGACATCAACATGTTATACATCGTTTAGGTTCAAGTAGAGGAATTATGATGTGAGTAAAGTAGTTTATTATGATAGTTTAAACGGAAGGAAGGAAGTTTTAGTTACAAAACACACACACACACTCACTCTCTCTCTCTCTCTCTCTCTCTCTCTCTCTCTCTCTCTCTCTCTCTCTCTCTCTCAGGCGGGAGTCAAGACACAGAAGTTACTTTTTTTCGGTTTCTGGTTTGTAAAGACCAATTTTCATCACAGTTCACTTGAATAGAAAACATAAAAGCATTTACTCCAAGGCCATCACATTTACCTGTGTTACCTGCACCTCGCAATGACAGTAATTAACACATAACGTCCCGTGTGTGTGTATGTGTGTATGTGTGTGTGTGTGTGTTATTGCAGCTAAATTATATTAATGAATACTGTTCTAACTTTCCTCGTTCAAAAGATTAATATATGTTTAACTGCAAGTGTCATCAGAACTTATTTAATTATAAGTTCTCAACGTGTGTTTGTTAAGGTGAGTTTTGGGTATTGTGTAATGTGACTCTTATTAACCGAGGATCAACACACACACACACACACACACACACACACAGAATCAACACAAATACTGAACTGAACCATTGAATTATCACACATACTGAACTGAACCACTGAACCAACACATACTAAACTGAACCACTGAATCATCATTCAGAGGTTCACAACAGATATATACTGTATATATATTAGCTCTGTGAAAGGGTTAGGGCGTGACAACGTAATGTGAGTGTTGGCGTGGGTATGTTATCACTATGCAGAGGCAAGTATGGGCGTATTAACTCTGTGGGGGTGTGGGCGTGGGTGAGCTGGTTTTATATGAGTATGGGCGTGTGCTTGCCGGGTCTGTGTGGGCGTAAGAAAGTTAGCTCTGTGGTAAAATGGGCGTGCAGAGTGCGTGTATGGGCGTAGATGAGTTAGTTCTGTGTGGGCGTGGAGGTCGTGTGTGGGTGTAGGCGTGATGGCTCTGTATGGGCGTAGGCGAATTAGCTGTGTGCGGGCATGGGCGTGCTCAGTGAGTGAGGATATATGAGCTAGTGCAAGGAATGTGACATATGGGAGTGGGCAGAACTACGGAAGGGCGTCGACGTGGAATAATTGTGAGGGTCAATAAGTGGGGGTGTAGGTCACAGTGTGTGCGTATGTGAGCATGTAGCTGATACAACCTAGTGTATGTTTACTATTAACATGCCTGGAGTAAGAAGAGCCGGTATATCTTATTAATCGACTCATTTACTTCAACACCACCTACAGAAAAACATTTACTGACTCCCGCTATTTTCAACATTCAAAAACGTATCTTCTATAATCATCTGTAATAACAATACTTAAGGCTGTTTAGATAATGGAAAAAATTAGTAATGACCGTTTATTACTTGTTACTGTAATTAACTCAGTATTATTATGTTTAAAGTAATAGATAATGGGAGCTGTGTTATTTGGTAAACTTTATGAATGAATTGGAAACTCTGATGACCGCCGCGGTACAACAAGTTTTCCTAGCGCCGGCAGCACATCCCAAGCAGACACGGGGGACTATTCGTAGAGTTTGGATGTCTCGTGTCAGTTCGCATCTGTGTGTTGAAGAGTGAGGGTGTGTTTCTCGTTAATCTTGGGAAGTTTATGCGTCGGATTGGGAATACCTTTTGACGATTTTTAACTGAGATGAGAACTAAACACAGATACGATATTCCTTTGTTATAAATACGTTGGAGTGACACGCTTTATAATCAACGATTTATCAGGTCAGTGTATATATTTAATGTACATTATTTTCCATAATTGTGAAAACTCAATAAGTAAATTTTTTGACAACTGGAAGAAAAATAATAAGTCCCGGATTTGGCTACCCTGCTAAAGTTTAAAAGCGGTAATAGGTAATTTTATCAAGAATACAGCATCAGTTTTCATGGCTATTTTAGAAAATGTGTTGGTTCATGTCACAAGATGTCCACAAGAACTGATGATGTCAACACTGGGGCCTCCGTGACCACCTCGTCCTGCACAGTGTGTGGCTGCAACACTATACTGTAATGCAGCCAAGCGCAGCCATCGTCGTTATGGCTGGATTCTGATGGTATATTGTATGAGTTTTGTATATATTTTATTGGCTAATGGTAAGTCGACACCTCTCGGAAAACCATTAAATAGATAGGTAGACAGACAGATAGAAGTTAAGTAAGAATCGTCACACAAGTTCACATTGATTCATCATGTATATACTAGAAAATACAGGTATACAATGTACATACACATTACAGGTATACAATGTACATAGACAGTGAATGTACAAAGTACATACACAGTACAGTTATACAATGTACATGACAGTGTGCGTATACAGTACTGACTGACGCTCCATAAATATTTAAAATAAATAAAAACATCAATGGTGAGGGAGTTTCTTGGTCTTTGCAGTTCGCTTACAATTTCCTTAAGGAGCATTAACACAGAATTACAGTAGGCCCGGGTGGGTGCTTTCAGGGGTCCGCTTAACGAATAAGATTAATGCTTGCAAGAAATAGCCTTTAATCCCCATGAATGCTTGGTGACCGACCGCCTTCAAGAAAACTCTTCCCTGGTCTATCTGCTGGTTCTCCCAAGGCAGAGAGAGAGAGAGAGGCATTGGTCGATAAGTACAGATATAGGTAGAAATAAATATTGGTATATATATATAAATTTAGGTATCTAGATAAAATATACATAGATGGGCAGAATATTATTGGCACGGATAAAAATATAGGTAGATATATTAATCTATAGATACTGATATATAGTTGAACATATGGAAATATAGATAGGCACGTAGGTAGAAATATAGATAGATAGGCACGTAGGTAGAACTATAGATAGACACGTAGGTAGAAATATAGATAGATAGGCACGTAGGTAGAAATATAGATAGATAGGCACGTAGGTAGAAATATAGATAGACTCGTAGGTAGAAATATAGACAGACACGTAGGTAGAAATATAGATAGACACGTAGGTAGAAATATAGATAGACACGTAGGTAGAAATATAGATAGATAGACACTATATAGATAGATAGACACGTAGATAGAAATATAGACAGACACGTAGGTAGAAATATAGATAGACACGTAGGTAGAAATATAGATAGACACGTAGGTAGAAATATAGATAGATAGACACGTAGGTAGAAATATAGATAAACACGAAGGTAGAAATATAGATAGATAGACACGTAGGTAGAAATATAGATAAACACGAAGGTAGAAATATAGATAGACACGTAGGTAGAAATATATATAGATAGACACGTAGGTAGAAATATATATAGATAGACACGTAGGTAGAAATATATATAGATAGACACGTAGGTAGAAATATAGATAGATAGACACGTAGGTAGAAATATAGATAGACACGTAGGTAGAAATATAGATAGATAGACACGTAGGTAGAAATATAGATAGATAGACACGTAGGCAGAAATATAGATAGATAGACACGTAGGTAGAAATATAGATAGATAGACACGTAGGCAGAAATATAGACAGATAGACACGTAGGCAGAAATATAGATAGATAGACACGTAGGTAGAAATATAGACAGATAGACACGTAGGCAGAAATATAGACAGATAGACACGTAGGCAGAAATATAGATAGATAGACACGTAGGTAGAAATATAGACAGATAGACACGTAGGCAGAAATATAGATAGATAGACACGTAGGTAGAAATATAGATAGATAGACACGTAGGCAGAAATATAGATAGATAGACACGTAGGCAGAAATATATATAGACACGTAGGTAGAAATATATATAGACACGTAGGTAGAAATATATATAGACACGTAGGTAGAAATATAGATAGACACGTAGGTAGAAATATATATAGACACGTAGGTAGAAATATAGATAGACATTCAATAACGTCATGGTGCACTACAAGCTCACGTTGGTGCACCATAATATACGTATACACAGACCGTGAAGCCTGGGCATACAATGTTAAATAATAGAGCGAGTTGAGTCGACCATGTATAACCCATAGTATTGTATCCCCTGAGTGCCAATTTAACACCTCCAACACAACACTGCAATAATATAAGTAATCGATATACATATACGGTATTTATATTTAAGTGTGTGTGTGTGTGTGTGTGTGTGTGTGTGTGTGTGTGTGTGTATGTATGTATGTATGTATGTATGTATGTATGTTGAACGTGCATGAGTTTGAGGGTTTGCGTGCATGTTATTATTCTGTCTATGTCTGTCTGTCTCTCAAGGTGCGTGTTTTAGTCTCTATGTATATATTTGTCGTGGTGTGTGTGTGTGTGTGTGTTCCGGCAACAAACGTGAATGAGTGGAAAAAAACGGTAAGAGGGGGGAACGAACATGTATACGACAATACCACTATTCCCTGTATAACTCAGCCGCCAGAAATTAGACCCTGCCATCAATTCTTGTACACTGCATAATTTTGTCCCATAAACCATTCCGGCCTCGCCCACCCCGCCCTCTGCTACCCTCCACGAGTGCCTACCTTCCACCCCCCCCTCCCTCCCCTTTCTTTCCATTCCCATTTCTTACCTCTTTCCTCCTCCTCCTACCCTTGACTCTCCCCTTTCATTCCCTCCTCCTCTTTCTACCCCTCCCCCTCTCCTCCTCAATACCTTCAGTCCCCTCTCTTTCCTCTTTCCCTCCTTGCTTTTACTCTCCCCTTCTTTTCCTCCCCCCTCCTCCTTCCCGTCCCTGCCCTCACGCCTTCTTTTCCTGTCCACGCTCTCCCTTCACCCCTCACTCTCCACCCTACTTCCTTCCTTCCCATTTCCCCCTCCCACAATCTCATCATTTCCTCTCATTCCCTCACTTATTTCTTGTCCTCTATAATTCTATCATTGTATCTCACCCCTTCCTCTCCCTTACTCGCCCTCCTCCACATTTCCCCGCCCTCCTTTTTCCCCTCTTTACTACTCGTTCCTCATCCATTCTTCCTTCCTTCCTCACATCCCTCTTATTTTTTACCCTTTCTCTTCAACCCCCTTCCTTCTTCTCCCACCATCCCCTCACTCATCTTCTCATTCTTCTATCTCCCTCATTCTACCTTGTGCCTCTCTTCTTTGCCTTATTTACTCCACCCTCTCTCCTTCACTCAATCTACGCTATCCCTCATTCCCTCTCCCACTCACTCCACCTTCTTTCTTTCACTCCCTCTCATCATCGCCTTCATTCCACCTTTTCTCTCCCTCACTCCACCCCATTCTCACTACACTCTCCTTCCCTCTCCCACCTTCAGCCCATTCTCTCGCTCCTTCCCTCTCTCTCTCCTCCACTCCTCTCTCTCTCCTCCACTCCTCTCCCTCCCTCCCCCGGGTTGCTTCAGGTGTGGCCACAGAAGAGGAAGGTAAAGGGATGGAGGAGTTTTAAGTCGCGTGTCTCAACAAATTTGTGTCATTGGTTGGGTCGTGTTTTATTCATTTAATCTTCGTGTTATGAGCTTTCCGATATTTTTTTAGTGTGTGTGTGTGTGTGTGTGTGTGTGTGTGTGTGTGTGTGTGTGTGTGTGTGTGTGTGTGTGTGTGTGTGTGTTTGGTTGGTTGGTTGGTTGGTTGAGTTGGAAGTGAGGGGGGGAGTGTGAAGCGTGGGAGAAGAGGAGGGATGGACAATGCAGATATAGAAAAGAGAAAAAAGGGATGGGGACTAGGAGGAAGAGTAGGAGGCGGAAAAGGAAGAGGAAGAACGAGGCGGAAGAAGAGGAGGAGGAGGGTCGCTGCGGAAGTTTGTTTTAGGGTGATGGAAAAATATAAAGCAGAAGGGTTGGGTGTTGTCCTCACGCTCCTCCCTCCCTCCCCTCCTTCCTTCCTTCCTTCATTCCTTCCTCCCCTCCATACCAATCTTACCTTCTTGCAGTCTCTCCCTTCCTCCCTGCTTCTCACCACTCCCTTCCCTACCTGCTTCCCTCTCTCATTCCCTACCTGCTTCCCTCTCTCCTTCCCTCTCTCCTTCCCTCCCTTTCTCTTATCATTTTCTCACTTCACTCGTCGTCACTACCACTGTCTTCACCATCTTCCTCTAACAACTACCCCTGTATAGCTAACGCACACCATCCACCTTCTCCTTGTTGCTATTCACGTTTTTATCAGTCTTTCCCTCTTCTTCCTTTTTATTCTTCCCTCACGTGACGTCAACCCCTATATGTTTTTTTTCTAATTATTTCCTTCTTTCCCTCTTTACTTGCTTATCCTGTTTTATCAATGTTTTACTTTGCCTGCTATACTAATCCCCTGTTCTATCTGCCTCTCTTGTTTTATCATTCGTTCTTCTTTTTCCTCTTACATCCTCACTTGACCATCTCTTACACTTTTCTCTCCTATCTGATCAATCATTCTTCCTTCTCATTCTATTTTGCCCTATTCCCCCTTTTTATTATTTGTTCCTTCTTCTCATACATACCATTATCCCCATGTACCTCTCTCTCTCTCTCTCTCTCTCTCTCGTGTTAAGTGAGGACCCATAATTTCCCAGTTTTCATGACGTCTGACAATTCCGTTCTGTAGTTCACGACTCGTCTTCAATTTCCGCGAGGGGGTAAAAAGCACCTCTTCGTGTTGAGATAGAGAGAGAGACAGACAGACAGACAGACCACTGAGTATTTTATGAGTGTATTCGCTAGCGTGTGTCACTACATCGAACACGGCCTAAGTATTTCATGAGTGTAATGCGACCCCCAGGAGTATAACTCGACCTCCGTGTGTGTTACCGTGTTAGTGCATCGAACACGGCTTAAAGTATTTCATGAGTGTAATGTGACCCCCGTGTGTGTGTTAGCGCCTTAGTGCATCGAACACGGAGCCTTCGTGTATATTTTATGTTCACTATTGAATGACAGTGTTGCCGGAGAGGGGGGAGGGGGAGGGGGCTGTGTGTGTGTCCTTCGTGAACTCTAAATTTCTTGAGAGAGAGACAGAGCTGATAGAATGTCCTGGATGTCTGGGGTTATATATTACTATAATTTAACGAGAAACTGGAATTGTTTAAAGTTTGCAATACTTAGCATCGTTAGTGTGTAAGATACTGTATATCGTCTGTTCTTGATACTG